AACAGTGACAAAACAGAGGTTCTTCTCATTGGTACAAAATCCACCCTGGCTAAAACCAAAAATTTCAGTATTGACATTGATAACCGTTCCATTTCTCCCTCCCCTCAGGTAAAGAGTCTAGGTGTCATCCTCGACAGCACTCTTTCTTTCCAGTCTCATATCAACAACACCATCCGTTCGGCTTATTTTCACCTACGCAACATCAACCGCCTCCGCCCCTCCCTTACTCCCCATTCCACTGCCATCCTTGTTCACTGTCTGGTTACATCGCGCCTGGACTATTGCAACTCCCTTCTGTTCGGTCTCACCCACAAATCTCTTCATAAGCTCCAACTGGTCCAGAACTCAGCTGCCCGCATCATCACCAAAACCCCATCCATTCATCACATCACTCCAGTCCTGCAAAAACTCCACTGGCTGCCAACCAAGTTCCGCATAGATTACAAAATTCTCCTGTTCACTTTCAAGGCCCTCTACAATCTCTCCCCACCATATCTTTCAAATCTTATTCATATTGCCATTCCCTCTCGCTCCCTCAGATCATCCTCCTCCATCCTTTTGACTGTCCCCTCCGCCCGTCTCACCACCATGGGGAGCAGAGCCTTCAGTTGCTCTGCTCCCCGACTTTGGAACTCGTTACCACCTCACATTAGAAACATAAAGTCAATCTCACAATACAAATCAGAACTCAAAACACACCTTTTTAGATCTGCTTTTTCCACCTGACACAATTGGTTTTGCCTGATTTTATATTGATTTTATATTGATTTTATACATTGTCTTTTTTCTTCCTTTCTTTTTCTTTTCTTTTCTTTTCATCTCTTAGTTTCTGTTACTGCTGATTTTATTCTTCGTACGGTGTCCTTGAGTGCCAGAAAGGCGCCTTTGAAATAAAATGTATTATTATTATTATTAAAAAGCATGTGATAACAACAACACTCGGGTACTACCACACCAAATTTAGCTCAGTATCAGTAAAATTAACTTTTTTGATGGCTAAGCTCGATTACCAGTGGCGACTATCTTAATTGGGTTACTTGTAAATATTAATGAGTTATAAATATACATAAAGATATTTTTGAGAGTTGTTAAAATTAGTCCAGTGGTTTGTAAGATATTTTGCTAACAGGCTTGCAGATTTGACAGCAGTAGTTAATGG